GGGGTGAGTTCCTATTCTTCCTTTATCCCTTCTCTACCCTTCAGGATGGGATGATTTCCACAGCCTCTCCAAAGAAGTATTTAGACTGGTTTCGGAGCAGGCATTTTAATTGTTTACTGCCTCTCCACTGGAGGAGCCAGGACACAAAAACGACTAGTTCAAAATTACTGGAAAAAAAAGGATTATTATTTCTTTTTCTTTTTGTGATATTGGGGATCGAACCCCTCAGTGAATGCTAGACAGGTGCTTTACACCTGAATTACACCCCAGCCCTAAAGAAAGGATTTTCAATATTCTCAGCTCAAAGAAATTATAAATGTTTGAGGTGATCTAATCATTACACGATGCATACAAATATGGAAATATCACATCTAGCCGTGGACAGCAGCCCACACCTTTAATCCCAGCTCAAATCAGTAGGCTGATGCAGGAAGGATCCCAAGTTTGAGGCCAGCCTCAACAATTTAATGAGACCCTGTCTCAAAAGAAAAAATGAAAAGGTCTGGGGATATAGCTCAGTGGTAGGGAAGCCCTAGTTCAAACCGCAGTACCAAAAAAACAGAAACCTACACTGTATTCCATCAATATGCACAATTATTTTATGGCAATTTAAAAACACACAATGGTGGAGCTACATAATGGACTTCTTATGTCCACATTGCTGGGCAACGGAAGTTTTTCTGCAAGACATAGCCCTGTGGGCCAGAAAAACTGACCAATGTTAATTTGATGCTCTGTGTCACTGAATTTGTATTCAAAGGTTTCTCAGGTCATAATACTCCCCAACTCCTTCCTGAGATCACCTAGACAACCTCCGGCCAACACTTCAAAGCCCACACGGAAGCTCTGTGCCGTGGCTGTGGAAAGATGGAACTCTCCCAGTGCTGCCCACAGGGCATGTGTGACCCAGCAGAGTGTCACTCAACAGGAGAGAACATATTTTAAAAAAATAGCTCTCAGTGAAGGCCATGCTCGTGCAAAAGATGTGAATCCTCTCTGGAGTTGGTGGTGTTTGATTTTGTGGGAGTTCTTTTTTGTTGTTTCAGTTTATTTTTCACTGGTACATTATAATTATACACAGTAGCGGGATTCATTGTGACACATTTATGCATGAACATAAAACAATTTGGCCAACCTCATTTCCCTGTGACAGTAATTTTTAAGATGATTAGAATGATCAGGGAACACACTGGGAGGCAGAGAGTTCAGTTCCTTCTATTTCACTAAGCAATGCTAAGCCTCTGAACAAGACCCTTGTCCTCTCTGTGTTGTAAAATAAGGAATATGGCTCCTTTCTGGCTCTGCTAGTTTCTTGTGTCACAATGTTATGCTTGAATTCGGGACCCCCAAAAGACCACCAGAGACCCAAGATCGATGTAAGCAGCAAAGAGGTGTTTATTGCGAGCTAGCTCGGTCCTCCGCGTGCACACACAGCAACTGGTGACGCTGAGAGGCCCCGAGCCCAGGGTTTGCAGCAGTTTTATACATTCTTTGGAGAAGTCAGGGACTTCACATACATCATAGCATCTCTTAGCAAATCATCACACACCGCGGGAAAATCAAATAACAACTCTAAAACATGATTAGCACATTCACTGGCGGGAACAAGTTGGGTAGGGGTGATTGGTCAGTACAAAAGGGGTATTCATTTGAACTGATTGGTTTAAGCCAAGAGGGGTGTTCATGCTGAACTACAAGGTTTCTCAACACGTTATCAACCAGCATAAACTACTGGGAGGGTCATCTGGCATCCCAGGTATTTCCCTGTCTCATGCTGATTTGTGGCTGCTAGGGGGTTGCTATGGGTCCTCACCTAGCCTGACTGGGTCAGGGACACCTGGCGCAGCAGATCTCTCCTGTTATTTGTAGATAAACCACTTAGCAGGGTAGGAATGTGCCTAGGAGTGCTCTGTGGGTTTTTCCAAGGACAAAGGTGATGTCCCTTCCTTGGACAGGCTTTGCTCTGAGGTAGAGGCTGGTTTTTCAACAAGCTGGTGTCATCAATTACTGCAGCCTTGAAATTACTCTAACAGGTCTCCTGCCACACCAAAGTTCACAGGCATAATGCTGTTCATGTGCAAAATGTATTGAGAGCCTTGAAACAGAGACCCCCCCAAGGCGGCTGAACCTTTCCTGGCTCCTTGCTCTACATTTGCTTTACCTGTTAGCAGACGCTAGGGGGCCCTACAGCCTCTAGGGTCCTCCCTGACCCCTTTCTTCTCTTGATATCTTTGTTGAAAGATGACATCACACTGTGTCAGTAAACATTGGATGCTGTGGAAGGCTGAGACATTTGAAAAGTTCTTAAAAATAAAGTCACAATACAAGAGCAGAAGGTCTGCAGAACAGTTCCTGTGCCTTGGTAGATTTTATTGAACCCAGTCAGCACCCTTGTCTCTGTTCCACAGTAAGTGGGCAGCTACCAACAAGAAAAACAGTTTTGATACTAGAATATTTTTTAGAATGCTATCCAGCTTTTATTTGTAAAGAATTTAGAATTATCAATGCATTTTGATTTGCACATTTGACTCTGAGAGTGGTCTCTTTAGGTGATTAGGATAGATATCATAATCCCCATTCCAGAAATGTGGAAATGAGCTCACAAATGACTTGCTAGGAAGCCACTTAACCCCAGAGGATGAGCCCTCTGTAATCCAAGCCCAGGGCTCTTTCCACCATGTCCTCAGCCATAAACTATTACAGGGTCGAGGGATTCCGTTTGACCTGACAGCCACCATCTTGAGTCATAACCACCATGATTGCCTCTGAGAAACCCTGGCATGTTCTCCCCACATAGTTTCCCAGATAAACAAAACCACTGGAGTGGTATGTGGAGCTTTCTGACCTGGCCCCCTGTGTTATCAGCACCAGGAATGTGCCTGACGTCTTTGATACTAGCTTGAGATAAACCAGGTTCATTCTGGCTAAGATGAAGTTACTTTTATCCTGACCTTTTTTTTTCTTTTAGTGTATTATAGTTATATATACCCACCAATGCAAATAACATAGTTTTCTCTATTTCAGTCCCTGTTTCCCTTCCCTCCTTCCTCCCTCTGATCCACTTCCTCTAGTCTATTGGTCTTCCTTATACTTATTATTTATTTGTTTTGTTATTGATGCCTTCTAGTTATACATAAAATTGAAATGCATAGTGTTCTGACCTCCTGCTGACCCAAATGGCAGAAATCCACCAGGCCTTGATGCTGCCTAGGACCACGCTTGTGTCAGTAGTCTCTGCTAAATTGCACTGTCTGCCTCTTCCTTAGTCTCACAGCACCTCAGGGCTGGTTCTCACACAGCAGGACCAGGTTGCTCGGGAACAGTGTCACTGTCGCCTGTCACATCATGTCTCACAGCAGCCAGCCTAGCCTTCCAGAGGAGAACACCTTGGATTTCAGACTGCGAACTACAGTGGAAAGTGGTTCTTACCCACAGCTTTATTATCCAGCTGACTTCTCTGGCACATCTTTGCCCTCTACCATGGACAGCCGGAATCCTTGACCTTGCCCTGTAGCATGGCTCCTCCTTTAGCCTTTCCCACCACTGTGCGGGATACCCCCATTTACCCACTTCCTCCTCCTGGAAACCTGGCTCCTCCCCCTCCCTCATCCCAACTCCCCCGACCCTGACCTTGTCTTTTCCCACCAAGCTGTAGTTCCATCCACTCGTCTCCACTGCCCTAAGTGACCATTTTGAAAATTCACATTGCAGGGGGACTGGGGATATAGCTCAGTTGGCAGAGAGCCTGCCTCGAATGCACAAGGCCCTGGGTTCAATCCCCAGCAACAACAACAACAACAAAAAATCACATGCAGGGCTTTGTTCTTGGTTTAGGATTCAGTAAATCTGGGATGGGGTCTGAGAATGTGCATTTCTGAGAAGTTCTCTGTTTTGCTGCTGTTTCTAGTCTGGGGTCCACACTTTGACAGGCTAAATACCTAGAATAGCCTCCTAACGACATGGAACCTTCTTCCCTCCAATCTATTCTCTACATCCAAGTCTAAGAGATCATTTTAAACGTCAATTGACCGTGAACTTCCTGTCTCAAACCCTCTGGGCCTCCCCATGCACTTGGGAGAGTCTGTCTGTCTTCTATCCCCAGCACCTGCACATGCTGCACAGAGCTCCTTTGAAGTTCACACCATCAGACTAAAAGCCTGCTGACTCTCTTGGTCACTGTCATCCACCAGTGCCCTGGTCACTCCTCCTTGTTCCTTAAGGACTTTCTCAGGATCCTCATCTTCACTAACCACTTGTTTCATTATTGGGGGGATGATCAGTTAGCCTTTGACCTTTGGCTCCTTGACCTCCTCACATCAAATGTTCTTTAGCCTCCCACTCTGAGGTCATAAGCTTGACCTCGTCATCACCAATAGCCAGGTCCCTTTCTCAATTTCAAGCCCTTTACTTCCCAACCACCTCCTTCTTTCTCCTCCCGCTTGGTGGCTATAATGCTCCCACCCCAGTAATTCTCTCACCTCATCAAGAGCCCTTCACTCATAACTAACCATTCATTGGCCCCATCACTTTTTTAAAAATCATTTTCTCCTAGTTTTTCACCTGCCACTTCATCCATGTGTCCATCAGCTGGGTTACTGCAATGAAGGCTTGAGATAATCAACTTGTAAAGAGAAGAAGTTGAGCTGGGCACAGTGGAGCACGCCTGTAATCCCAACAACCAGGGAGGCTGAGGCAGGAGGAGCACAAGCTCCAGGCCAGCCTCTGCAACCTATCGAGACCCTGTCTCAAGATTAAAAAATTAAAAGCGGGCTGGAGTTGTGGCTCAGTGGTAAAGGGCTTGCCTGGCGCATATGAGGCCCTGGGTTTGAGTCTCAGCACTGCACATAAATAAATAAATAAAATAAAAGATCCACTGACAACTGAAAATGTTTTTTAAAAAATTAAAAGAGCTGGGGATGAAGTTCAGCGATAAAGCACCCATGGTGGGTTCAATCCCCAGTACAAAAAAAAAAAAATGTAATGAATTAATTTTGACTCACAATTTTGGATGTTTCAGTTCATGATCAATTGGCTCCATTGCTTCTGGGCCTGTGTGGTAGCCAGAAATGCAGAAGACAAAGTAAACTGTTCACTGCCGGGACACAAAACAGAGAAAAAGAAACCCGTCCCTTTCAAGGGCACTTGCCCAGAAACTCTAGTTAGGCCCCACCTAGGTTCCACTACCCTGGGGACCAAACCTTTGACTCGTGGGCCTAAGGGGGACACTTAAGATCCAAACTGTAGCAATCATCTCAGGTTGAATGGTACCGCATTAAAAGCACTTCCATAGAAACCACTACCCCCTGTCTCTCTCTGCAGCCACGGATACCCCCAACCATTCCCTCCTTAGTCCAGCTCTTACCTAAGCAGCAGGAGAACACCTTGCTTCTTATTAGTGGCCACATCCCTCAAAGTTATCTATTCATTGCTCCAAATCCTACTTAACACCCTTCCTACTTAAAGGGTGGTGTTATTTTTACCAATGGTGCAGGCTTCCGTGGGAGCTAGTTGCAAAGGCTCTGGCGGGGCTCTCAGACCACGGAGTCCACATCTGCTTTGTAACAAAGTCCCCAGGGGATTCCCTTTCACATTAAAATGCAGAAGCACAACCCTAGGCATTTGCTGACCGCATCTCCGGAATAGCCACCCATTCTTATCTTCTTCTTTTTTCTCAAACCTTCTGAACCCGGAGGCCATCCCTCAGATCCTCCCATTCCATTGAGATTCCAGAAGCAACCCAAGGAGTCTTCTTAACTCCAAGTCATGCACCTGCTTCTCTTTGCATCTGAATCCCCACTGACCTCTTGCTCCCGTGGGGAGCCTGCCCAAACCCTTGAGGCTGATTTTTTTTTTCTCTCTCTTTAGCCTTTGGAATTTCACCCCTGCCTCTCCTGAATCCCAGACCCACAAGTTGCTCCTTGGCTATGGACATGTTTTAGTCCATTTCTCTCTCCCTCACTCTCCTCTTTTTTTCTCCACTAACTTCATCCCCAAACCCTTTTCATTTTTTGTCTTGAGATAGGGTCTCACAAAGTTGATGAGGGTGACCTTGAATTTGAGATCCTCTGCCTGAGTTTCCTGACTCTCTGTAATTACAGGCGCATGACACCACACCTGACTCTAGTCATATCTTAAAGACTCTCTTGATTCCACATTTCACTCCTACTGCCCATTTCTTGACTTGAAAAAAACTCCTGGGGGCTTTTGTCCCCCCAAATTCTCATGGTTCACTACTTCTCTTCTTTGAGGTCTTGATCAAATGCCATCACGGCAGAGGGGAATTTCCTCACATTCTTTATCAAATAGTTAATCATCTGTTTTTATTTTATTTTTGGTACCAGGAATGAACTCAGGGGCACTCAACCACTGGGCCACACCCCCAGCCTTGTTTGTATTTGTTTCGAGCAAGTAGCGCTATTAGTAATTACAATGAGGCAGACTGTCTTTAAATGCAAGCTGTATTGGATCACACCAGTCATCAAAAACAATTAATGCAAAAAGTGTTGGGTGTGCGGGAGCACCCCAACTAGCATTCAGTGCAAGCTAATTAAACTCTATAAGCAAATCACACAATCCTAGGGCAACCACGAGCCCCAAAATACCTCCAATGCCACGTCACTTCTCTAAGCCAAAGAGCAGATGTTGTCCCTGTCTAGTGGTTTTCTCTAGCCAATGGCTGGACATCAGGGAATGGTGGAGTCAGTCCAGGGACAGACAGCAAGGCAGCCAGTCTCACTGACGTCCTTGGAGCAAAACTCTTCAATGTGGCAGGATCAGCAATTTAAATACAGTTCCTAGTTGGTGGTGTATGTTGGTGATTGGTTACACCCAGCGAAAGTCAATGCCCATTGGTTATGTCCAGTGAGGTGCAATTGCAACTGGGAATGTTCTTTGCACATGTCTAGGGAGCTGTGCTCCCTACCAGTTGTAACCAGTCATTGCTAAGCCTGCCTATGGCTAGTGCCCCTCACAGCTCTTCATCAATTGCAAGCAGATATGGCTAAGCAGTTCAATGGCTGCTGTTCCTTAGTGAGTCCCAGCATGTCCCAGCATGTCTATGGCAGATGCTCCTTACAGTATTTTATTTAGAGAAAGGGTCTCACTGAGTTGCTTAGTGCCTCACTAAATTGCTGAGGCTGGCTTTGAACTCGCGATCATTATGCCTCAGCCTCCCAAGCTGCTGGGATTACAAGTGTGCAACACTGTACCCAGCTAGTTTTAATTATCTTTAAATTTATCAAGGTATGTCCTACATTTAAATAAATGTGTGTGTGTGTGTATATATGTATGTATGTATATATATATACATATATATATATATATATATTAATATTAGTTGTTGATGGACTTTTATTTTACTGATTTTTTTTATGTGGTGCTGAGGATCAAACCCAGTGTCTCACATGTACTAGGCAAGCACACTTATCACTGAGCTGCAACCTCAGCCCCTGGCCCACATTTCTTTGGTGTCTGTCTCTCCATGCTAGAGTGTAAACTCTGGGAGCTGAAACATTGTCTCTTTTGTCTGTAGCCAGATCCTCCGGGCCTGATGTTTAGACAAGCAGCAGCTAGAGTGCAGCCACATGCCAGGGAGACACTAGGCTACCAAGAAAGTCCCTGGCAGGGCGAGACCCCAGAGCCCACTGCATTTGATAAGAAATGATGGGCCAAAATGTAGTATCTCTTTCTCCATCATCTTCTTAAGGTTAATTTGTTGGAGGATATAGAAATGTACTTGTTCCCTCAAGGAAAAACAGAGCAGGTGGTTCTCAGAGGACTCTGGGAATCTCATCAACTCCTCTGCATGAAATCCAGAGAGACCTCGGCTTCCTGGATTCTCCCCGCCCTGTATTCACGCCCAGGTTTAGGGCCCTCCTATGCAGAATGGACTTGGCCTTCACCAACAGGAAAGAACAGCATGTTCTTTGATGGACCTTTATTTTATTTATGTATTGCAAAGTTAGGTCATAGATCATGTTATGGCTTCCACCTTGTGCCATCTTGAATTAAGCACCTCTTGGAGCTCTGGGAAAGGCAGCGGTCATGAGGATGCTCAGGAGTCCACTGGAGGTCCCTTGGTGGGCACTGAGGGTACAGCTGACAGCTGGCATCCCCTTGCCGACCCGGGAGTGGACCAGAGGAAGTGGCTCTGGCCTGCCTTCTCCCCTGCCCACTGCGTTCTCTTGCTTTCTGTGGCCAGATGCTCTGTGGTGCATTAACTTCTCTTTTTAATATGCAAATAGCTGAAATTGACAGCCAGGTGTTGGTCTTCTGGGGACTAGCCAACCTGTTCTGTAGGAGGACAGGAGGGGAGTGTCCCAGGCTTTGCAGTCTGCACTCCGGCATGCAAAAGCACCCACCGAGGATACTTAAGCAATGCTCTGATAAGATCTTATTTACAAAATCATTGGAGGGATTTGGGCTGAGGGTTGTGATTTGTCAACCTCTGGTCTGCAGGACCTCACAGCTTCAGGGCTCAACCCCATCGCATTGTCCAGATCAGAATGAGGTACCCATGCTTGGTTTCCTCAGCTGGGGCCAAACAGGCAGCAGTGGGACTACGTGAATGGCAGGAGCACTGTTTCTAAGAGAGGTACCCAGGGAGACCATGTGAGATTTTAGCTCATCGAATTCAGTCTGGTAATCCATTAGCCTTCATTGAATAAACACTGATTAACTGTGAATGTGCTAAGTACTTTGAGTTTGAAATATAAAGATGACAGCTACATGGGTCCTAATAATAGCTTGAATGTGCCAGGCTTGCTGCTAAGTACTTTTGTACACATTATCTCATTTAACTTCCAAATTAACACTATGAAGAAATTAAGGTTCAGAGAAGTTAAGTAACTTGTCTAAGGTCACACAGTAGCAAGGGGGTCAAACTATCTACTCCAATGCCTTCAATGCCAGAGTTCTTAACCCTTTTGACTTCCACTATGCAATGCTGCCTCCTTGTTCTCATGACCATTCTGCCCTCAAAAGAGCTCATAGTTTTTCTCTCTTTAAACCACTGAACTACATCCCCAGCTCTATTTGTTTATTTATTTAGACAGGGTCTTACTCAATTGCCTGAGCTGGTCTTGAACTTGAAATCCTCCTGCCTCAACCTCCTGAGTCACTGGGATTATAGACTATGAACCATGCCTGGTTCATAGTCTCTTTAGACTTTATTTGTAAATTTTCTCTGCCTTTTGTTCATTTTGAGTCCCTTTTCTAAGAGACTTTTTGCTGTTGATAAGGACATTTAGGTACTAATGACTTTGTTCATAAAGTTTCTCTACTATTGAAAATATCATGGGGGCTAGAGATGTAGCTCAGTGCTGGTAGAAAACTTGTCTACATAGGACACATGAGGTTGATCCTCAGCACCAAAAAAAAAAAAAAAAAAGACATGGGGAGGGGATAGAGACTGCATTGGGTCACTTTCTGCGTTTGGGTTCTGTGGGCCACTTATAGACTTACCACAAACACACTCTGGTAAGTGGTAGAGCACTTGCCTAGCATGTGTGAGTCACTGGGTTCGATTCTCAGCCTACATATCAATAAATAAAATATCAAGATCCTCATATAGGTTTGTAGGGGTTCAGCCTCGGTTAATTTGTCTTTCTAAACTCTCAGAAATTACAATATGCATAAACATTTTAGTTGACCACTTGCTTTATTATTCAGCAAATTAGAAAACAAGTTGCAGTAGATTAAATCCATGCTTTCTCAGAAGAGGCTACTGTGATCTGAACGTTTGTGCCCTCCCAAATTCATATGCTGAAATCCCCACCCGCAAGGTGATGGTATTAGGAGGCAGAGCCTTTGCAGGTGACTAGGTCATTAGGGTGCTACCCTCATGAATGGGTCCCAGAGGGCTGCCTCTCCTTCCAACACAGGAGGACACAGCTGTGTGGGTTTAGGAGCCCAGCCTCAAGAGCTCTTGCAGATGCCACTTTCATCCTTTTAAAATGCTCCTATTTGGGGGGCTGGGGTTGGCTCAGTGGCAGTGCACTTGCCTAGCATGTGTGAGGCACTGGGTTCCATTGTCAGCCCACATATCAATAAATAAAATAAAGGTCCATTGACAACTAAGAAAATATTTTAAAAAATAAATAAAACAAAATAAAATGTTCCTATTGCCACATAATAAAGTCCAAGTCAGGCTATTGAAGGATGAGAAAAGATGTAGAAAGAGCCCCCACTGATAGCCAGCACCATCACCCCAGACGTGGAAGTGACGCCACCCGAGACCCTCTAACCCCACTCCAGCCATGACCAACTGCAAGGGTCACTCCAGGAGAGACCATCAGAAGAACCACCCAGCTGAGCCCAGAGCGGTGAGTAAATAAATGTTGCAAGCCATGCACGTTGGGTAACTTGTTATTTAGTGCTAGATAACAGGTACAGAGATATGGACCAGAATATTTATGCCTGAGGTGAGAGATTGTCTTGGATTTCCTTAAAACTAATCTGATAGCAGGGAGAAGTTTGTGCGGGTGTAGATGAAATAGGATTGGTTATTACTTAAT